TCACCCTCTAATTTTACACCCATTGTAATACTGAATATGAGTAACAATAAAAATAGGCTGCAGTAAGTACAGTTAACCTTTTACATTACTACTATCAATACTCAGTCTACCCCACCTTACATCTATATGCAGCATGTGCAACATTAAGTGGAATAAACACTGGGGGCATTTGTTATTATTTTTGGCACTAAGCAACATTACTAAAGTCTGGATTAATCTGCAGATGGGTTACAATAACATGGAAATGCATCACCGACAGATTAACTATAAGTAGATAAAAATTATGCAAAAAACTTGTAAGTAGACATACTGTAAAAGACCAGTGTGTAGAGTAATGTGCATTGCAGCAAAGCTATTAGTATGAAATACTATATAATAATTTAAATGTCATTTAGTCACGTTATCAGTTTTAATAGTGTTAAAGATTTTTAAAGGCATCCTTCATTGACAACATTGTGTCTCTTTGACTTCACATAATGGCCAGATTTTTAATAACAATAAGTTACAGAGGGATAACTTGGATCAGACCATTGATACTGTTAAATACAGCGATAACTGTAGGAGTTTTCAGCCTCTTTGATCAGGGGGATTGATCTCCCTGATAGCTGTGATGTAGTTTAAAACAAATTTTGATTAATTAAAAAATAAAATAAATATTTTAAATATAGATTCTTTTTTCTTCTTTGACATATGCTTATCTATGATATATATGTCTGCTTCATCCAAATCATGAGATTATTGGTTCTTACAGCAAAAATTTGAGCAATGCAACAGTCTAATTGAACACCTATGCTCTGTAGAAGGTACTGGGAATATCTAAAGAAGATTTAAATGTAACACTTTGAACCAGAAAAAAAGATGTTAATGCTTAAAGTTTTATTGCTAATTAATCATTTTTTTCTTTTACTTTTAACCATAAATTAAAACAATATCCCCAACGTTTGTGTAGGTGCATGTTCAAAGGTGTCTTGTATGCTGAAAGATCCATGTGTTTTCCTTCTTACAATGGACCAATACGTAATATTTATGCTAAATCTTATAGTTTGCTTTGGTTCCCAAGATGTGAAGAGCTCTTTAATAGGTTAACTATAATTAAACAGTACATTTATCACAATCCTGTGTAGAAAGGTGTGGGTGCTGGCTGCAAAATGCAACTGATACAGAAGAAATTCCTGGTATTTTTGCATGCTGCATTTCAAATACTGGGATGTACCAAGTCTTTTTTTTCTGGCACATTAAATACAGGATGCCTCACTGTATTATGCTAATGGTAGCTAAACATTTCAAATGATGCAGTGAGTCAACATCAGTTTCCATCTCACTTGAAAAACTGAAGACAAACAGCAACACCGGCCATTAAATGTGCAATATGTGGGGGCAACATCCTAACATGACCTCTTGCTGAGGTCACCTTC